TCGTCGCCGCCGTCGTCGTCGTCATCGTCGTCGTCATCGTCGTCGTCGTCGTCGTCGTCGTCGTCGTCGTCATCGTCGTCGTCGTCGTCGTCGTCGTCGTCGTCGTCGTCGTCGTCACCGTCTTCGTTATCCAGCTCGGTTAAGTCATTTCCATTACGAACATCCCTTCCGTTGTGATGCAATGTAGAATTACCGTCCTCCGTTGGATTTCCGTTATGTAAATGGCTCGGCTGGATTTTACGCTCACCACCTGCTGGCGACACCGCTTGGCCTGATTCGCTGTCCTGATCGCCCCCAGCCGAATCAGGGACCTGCTGTAGAGCTTCAGTGTCGTCCGACTTATTTAAAATGGAGTCGTCATCTTTTAGCTCGGCGGATTCATTTAATAGCTCTTGTTTTACTTCGTGCTCGGGTGTGTTTGGCTCAACTTTTGTGTCACAATCGCCAGATGAACCGTTACTGTTACTAACCTCGCTCTCGTCATCTTGATCACCATTGAAGGGATCACTAGGCCCATTAGTCTGCAGATCGTTATCTTCGACACTCATCTTGCGTGGCGTGGAGGAACCCGACCGAGAGTCGCACGAGTCACCATTGGATAGCGAACCTCTGGTGATTTTCGATCGTTTCACTGGCGGCTCGTCCTGTGACGTTCGCAGTGACGAACTGCGACGCACAATTGATCCATAAATAGACGAGCTGCTCACTTCGCGCTCCATGCGTCGCCGGTCAGCACAAACATCATCGAGCAGATGATTTACGGTGGAAAAAACATCCGGCTCAATGTATTCGACTAGAAGATCAGGTGAATCATCGATCAGCTCAGGGATGCTGTCAGGGAAGAAACGAGTTGCATCGAGCGGACCACGGTCTTCAAACAGTATCTCGCCATCTTCTAACTTAATCCTCAAGTCATCATAGTGCAAAAACGCTTGAGGTTTATGAATCTTCGAGGCAACAAAGTGCGTTTTGACGTGCTCACGCAGCGTAGTCGGATTGCTGACCGTGAATGGACAGTGGGCACACGTCAGCGTCTGCTGAGTCAAAAGATGATGACGTTTCATATGGTGCTGCATGCCGTCCTTACGAGAGTGCGTATAAGGGCAAGCGGTGCAGGCAAACATCTTTCGTTCTTCCTCCAACTGCTCCGGTTCAAGGGTCTTCATGACCGACTCGAGAGTCAGTGGCGCCGCATCCTCGACTAACGTCTGAGGCACCGACGCGTTTCGGAAAAGTGTCGACATGGATAACTGTGAGTTAGCGTCCAGCGTGTCCTCGCAACCTAGATTGGCCGTGACGAATTCAGCTTCATCAGATTGTCGATGCAGCACACGATGCCGACTAATAATATCGCTCTTGTTTGTAGCGAAATCACAATGTTCACAGCGGTAGCGTTCACCACTGCCATGCCTCAGCAGATGCCCTTCAAAGAAGTTCTGCTTAGTAAACGTTGCTGGGCATTTAGGGCACTGCTTAATGGATGGCTTTGAGATGTGATGCCTTGCGTAATGAAGCTGAGCATGGGCTGCCATGTTGCCTGATTCGTCAATCGAGTACGTGCACACGTGGCATTTGAGTCGACGGGCTGGGCTTCGGTGCAAATTGGCGTGGAACCGCTGCACGGCCTGGTTAGCAAAGGCGGCCGGACAAGTCGAGCATTTGTATGTAGCATTGGCCATACCTTCAAATACGGCCTTAGACTCGTGAAGTTCGGCCATGAGTAGTGCAACCGAATATTCCTCGCTGGCGTAGTTATTGGACGCATCCTCTGATAGAACGACGTGGAAAGAAGAAGACTGCGATGGAGTTTGCTGTTTCTTCACTGGTGATATCTGATGATGCTGAGACTTTGATTGAACAATTTTATACGTGGTCGAATTGCTACTGCTTTGGCCGGATGAAGCAGATGATGCTGTTGTCTTGTTGGAGTTTTGCATCTCTGAAGCGACACTAGCCGGGCTCGGAAAAGATGTCGGCACATTATCTTTAAGAGTGTGCTTGTGGTCCCCAGCGCCTTCAGTAGGCCGATGGCAGTAGCCTAGCTTCTTTACCATATAGTCCTCTGTATGCACCTGCTCATGTTGAGCGACGAATACATATTTGTTCATGGAATAACTGCATTGTGAGCAATGAAATTTGTCCGAATACCGATGATGATCCAAGTGTCGACTATACTCGGTCGGATTCATGAAGAGGGCTGGACATTCCGGGCACGCAATCCATTTGCGAAGGTTCACCTGTAGAAAAGAAGCGTGGCCCATAACAAGCATTATTACATTGTGTGCTATACCCGATACTGAGGGACACTCACCCCGAAGGCATTGTACGCACTTATCTATACCAAATCCAGGGAAGACGTTATTGCCGTAAGTGATATCTAGCTAGACAAGAACTAGTCTAATTTCTAACCGACATATTTACTATTTTGTAGAAAATCAATGGCCATAATGAAGTGTACCTTGCTCTGGAACGTAATGAGTCCATCGCTCCGCCTCACGTACGGGTCGGCCGCCTTTGGAGCCTTTTTCACCCTAGCAAGGCCGCTAGCCTGGTTAGGGATATGAGCTTTGTGGCTTCTGTGTGGCGTCTCATCATCGCCGGTCAACGTGGCTCCCGACGTCAAGCCATTGTTATTGTTACCATTCTGGCGACTCTGCAAGAGGTTAAATAGTTCCGACTCAACGGCGCTGCAGTTATACTTGATTTTAGCCACTGGCTGCGCCCTCGGTACAGATACGGATGAGGACGCGGCCGGTTTTGGCGTCAATTGTTGCTGTTGGTGTTTTTGCAGCTGCTGTTGGTCTGAGATACGATCGGATGCTGCGGCGGCTACTGTCGGTGTTGATGATGCTGATGTTATTGCGGAGCCTTCGACAGCACCCTCCTCGTCGCTACTACCATCCTCAATCTCTTCGATCATCTCAACGCCAGCGTCGTCCCGGCGTGCGCGCTGCGGTACGTGGATTTTCATGTGATTTCCCAGAACTCCCTGAGAATGGGTCCGATAGCTGCATAAATGGCACGTATAGCGTCCGGAAGCGCTCTTGCCGTGCAGTAATTCGTGGTATCGCACGTTTGCCTTCCGGCGGTTCATGAGCGGACAGAAACGACATTTGTGCATCTTGAGCACTATGCCGTTCTTGACGACGCGGAACGAGCGAATGCGATCGGAAGCGCTCGCCTCTGTGGTGACAGCGATTTCAGCCGGCGGCAGCCAGGACCCCTCGGGGAACTTCTGGTCCGGTGTTCCTTCCTGGTGCACCCTCGCGTGCTGTGTAATCAAATGGGCATGCGTTGCCCAATAACTGCACTTGTCGCATTTAAACTTCGCTTTCGGATTGTATCTGCAACGGGAGGAGCGTGACTTATACGTGTTATTGTGACTACTTGGCTGCGCAGTACTATCAAGCAACGCTTTGAACACCGGGCTCAAATATATGTATAATACATATATCATAGCATCAATGATAGTAATATTAGTTGTTATTTTATTGCATGGATATACACAGCGATCTAAGATGAACGGGATAATAATAATAGTAATAATAACATAACATAGAAGAAAAGTAGCCACCCCTTGTCATAGCAAAATATTGCTTTTGTGGCAAAAGGATACAATTATGTTTGCCACTCACCTATGAAATTGTTTATGGTAAATGAACTGCGAGTTGGCCGTCGTCATATAGGGGCACGAGTCACATTTAAACTTAGGCGCGTTGACCTCGACCGTATCGGCTGCCGAAATTATCGTTTCGGCGTGATGTCCCGATCCCGTGGGGCTAACGTCACCCAGGATATTGTTGAGACTCATACCACTGGACGAGAGATCCTGATCCATACCATTAGTATCTAGCACGCCCTGGGTACCCCTTTTGACATGTTCCGGATGTAGAGCCATATGCCGTTGGATGCTACGCCGCGTCTCCTGCCAGAAGTCGCAGTAAGGGCACTTGTACCGCATCGTATCGGGTCGCGCACGGGCATGGCCCTCGCGGTGCCTCTGCATGTTCGACTTCTGCACCGTGTGGTATGGACAACGGCTGCAGCGAAGCTGGCGAATTAGGCTTACCTCCGAATTTGGTGCGATCGCCAACACCGGGTTCACAATCGATGACGAATCGGCCATCTGGAATACCTCTCCATGCTGACGATAATCCAGCTGCAAGTGAATGTCTTTGAGCGTCACCTGCTCGTCGCGATGGAACTAGAAACGCAGCCAAACGGATAAACACTAGTAAAACAGGATGGCGCAACTGCGACATATGTGCCTATTTGCAACGATAATATTAACTGATAAGCGAAGCTGGATGAGCCAACTAGTCAGCATCACCGTCGTGGTTTACGTACCTAATCATCGACATTTCTGTCATTTGTTACGAATCTCGCATGTCGAGCTAGTCCTTCGATTACCCACCTGTTGCAAGTGAATCCAAGCGGTGTGGTGCCATTTGTTAGCTAGGCCACATTTGCTGCAGATGAACGGCAGGACATCAGCGTGTGCACCGAGATGTCCGAGCATGATATCTTTATGATCGCAGGTGTACTCGCAGTGGCCACATTTCAGCGCGCCGCCCTGCTGCTGCTGTTGCTGCGAGGCGGTAGCAACTGCGGAAGTGGTACTACGCTGCTGCTCCTTCTTCTGCAGCTGCTGAATCATGTAGTTCTGCGAGTCCTCGCGCGCTTTGTTCACGTGCTGCTGTTGCATCTGCTGCTGTAGCGCCGCCACACCCTGGCCGGCCACAAGCTGACCAACGGGTACGGCAGCCAGTTGCGCCTGCACAACCTGCTGCACAACCGCTTGCGCAGCGGCTTGCTGCTGAAGTTGAACTGAACGCTGCTGCTGCTGCTGCTGCTGTTGCTGATGGACTAACGCATTTATCGGTGCCTCGGCTGTTGAACAGTTTGGGTGGACTCGGCCTTGAGAGGCCATTACGCCCGCCTCACCTTGATCATCCGGGGTTTCGATATGCTCACCACTAGCTGGGCCCTGATTAGCAACAAGAATGAATATAGTGAAAAATGGAGTATAAGCCGCCAACCATTACGATACAGAATGAACATTGAAATTCCGAATCCCGATCCACTGGCCCTATGGATAGCACATTTATCGACAACAAAAAGGATCAGAACGGTCGTCATCGCGCGCAAAGCTCCAGAGTGCTTACCTCCCAGCTTACCTCTTTGATGAAGCAGCGATACTTGCTGTAGTCTCTGAGTCCTGCCTCGTTGATGCACACACACTTGGCACCGCGATGCGAGTGGTCTCCTTTCCCCACCCGCGTCCGTATATGTTTGTTGATATCCCAAAGCCAGTTGCTCTTGATACGACAAACTGAACACTCGAAAGGCCGCACGTTCAGGTGCTGCATGTAGTGAATATGGAAGCGGGAAGCGGTTTTGGTCATGAAGTCGCAATATGGACAGAAGTAATGGGCGTTGGCGGGGAGCTTCAGCGCCGGGTTCTGTATATCCTCCTGATTGAAAGCTGCGACCACAACACAAATCAATAGTCATAAGATAACGATAATTAATCAAAAACAGACTGCTATACATATAATTATAAAAAGTTTAGCGAAGCTATTAGGTGTTCCACTGGTTCATATTACGCGCATTAGCTAGTTTATAAAAAGAAGCATTTCATATCAAGGTTATCTGAATGATCTTTTGCTGACAACGAGAAACTCCGCTAGAATATTCCCAAGACGTTGTACGACTCATTGTCTCCAGAGGGATTTCAGAACCAGGCTCAAAATGCTACCAATCCTGATAATTAACTTTGTAGGAGCAATTTTTTTGTAACGGCCCAAATGGAATAGCACAAACGTCCAACATCTACTCACTTCCTCCTCTAACAATGCCATTTTCCTGTGAATGCTTTTGTTGATGATTCTGAAGGTGCGAAGCGTCTGGTCCTCCACTACTGCCGCCACTACCCCCGCCCTGGAGAGTTTTAAAGAGTAACGATTCATTCTTTCCCGCCGTAGAATTGCTTGCCACTTCGGGTGTACTTAAGAGGTTCCTAAGAACACCACCTGTGGCTGGAGGTAACGATAATGATGACACCGTGTCACCCTGATCCATAGGTGGACCCATCGGGGTTGCATCTTGATCGCAAGGTGTCCCATGATGTTTCATCATGTGTTTGCTGAGATCATCTGTCAAATCATAATCAAAATACCAAATCAACAGATACCGAAAAAACTTTCCTTCGAGGGGAAAAGGCGGTTGCAGTATTGGTCCCTCATACTAACAAGATTTAAATAGTTTGTTAAAAACTTCTTTGTATATTTCACATCCGAATAAAGTTTCACCACTAACTTTTCCAAATTGTCTTGTAAGGGCAAAGTTGACAGGCGAGTGGTTTGTGGAGGTGCTCGTGTTTCTGATACTCTTGCTTAACACGAGTCGAATAGGCGCAATATCGGCACTTGAAGATGGTGCCCGAACGAGGGGCCGGTGGTTTACTTGGAACCACGTTAACATCCCCGTTTGATGTCCCGCCACCCCTGTCAAATAGACACGATTGTAACTTAATTTTCATCAGTGCACTTACTTCTAATATGCTACTACTTAGGTGATTCAATAGAACAGCTAATGGTTTGCATGCTTATTTAGTCATCATGTGCGATCAGACTACCGATAAGCAGAGCCAGAGTGAAATGCGTCATGGTTCCATTGAGTAATGAATGCTTAACAGTTCAACGAATCATTTCTGTTGTTAAATATATCCTACCCACTTATTTAGCCAATTTCATGTACTCCCATGCAATTTTTTTAGCGTGGCACACTGACGTCTATTTTTCAATATATAACATATTACGGTATCCAGCACCGCTGTGAATTCGCCCTATGCTTTTACATCGACGCGTACAAAGAAACAATGACGCCGACAACAGTAACGAGTGTAGTGAAAAGAAATGTCTTCGATGATAACACTACTCTTGCTATTATTAATCCTAGGATTATCATTATACATTTCGTATGCAATAGATAATGTGATTAGTAGTATTAGTGTGCCTGGTAATGCTTAGTTGCAACAACAACAACAACAACAACACATACCCCTCAATGAGATGTTTGAGGGATTTGCCGTTGCCCAGTTCGATGACGACGGGCTGTTTAGACACTTCAAGCGCCCTAGACGCATTATCTTTGTTCTCCCCTCCACCTCCAGAATCTCCACCGGCTACCGGCGTGATGCTCAATCCAAACCTGTTCTGCAGTCTGGCTAGGGTTTCGTCCTGGCCTGTGGTTGACACCGTTGGCTGGCTCCCAGCCGCATTCTGGGTTGCCGCTGCCCCCTGAATACGCGGGTTGGTCCTGAACATCTGGGCTTGTTCAGCCTCGATCTCATTCATGTGCTCCTTCTTGTTATGCTCAAGAAGGTCAGCCTGATTGAGGAAGCACGCCCCACATAGATCGCACGTGACAGCGTCTCCGTCATCATCCTGGCTGCTGATCTCATCGATCCCAATCGATGAACCTTCCATTTCGCCCGGCATCGAATCGTCCATCTCGCCACCGGGCCCGCACTGCATCATCATCATTTCAGCGTCTTCCTGTTCTTCTACGCAATCGATACCTTCAGGCGAATCTGTAAGGGAAGACGAACGCGCTCCCTGATGGTGATTGCTCATATGAAATTTGAGCGATCCGGCTTGGTTGCTACTGTAGTCGCAACGATCGCAGTGAAGATCACCGTTCAATGCTGTAACACCAATGAAGTAAAAAGAACACAAATAGAATCAACCAATAATGGATTTGGAAGCGGTCATCGAAGTCTTTTGTGAGATCTTGTTCTCATGTTTGGACCCTCTCGCTCTCTAATCCCACTGGTAAGGGTAACGGCTTAGCGGGAATGCATTGGTTCAGTGACTCACAAAAATGACTGAGTGTGAGCGAGTGGTAGAGTTGAAAAGTGCTGTTGAAGAAGGCATAAAGAAACGTCATTTATCACTATTGAGTTAGTCTCAAACGATGTGATCCCTATTCCAGTCAAAGCCAAATGCTAGCAAAATAGGTTTAATTAACTGAATGCTTAGAATTAAATGACGACGAAGCGGTATCGTCTGCAAATTGAAACCAAAGCACAGATCTCAAAAGCCTAAAGACGTCTACACAAACCAGAAACGTGTCTCGCACTCCATGAGCTTAAATAGATACCTGTATTTAGAAAACATATTTCTGCTAGCGAATGCATGTTATCACTGATCATGATCCTCGCCAGCGGCTACTTACGGTTGTGATATTTCACATGACGATCGAGGCTCCAGCGGTAACTTGAGGTAAAGTCACACTTGTCGCACTTGGTCTTCCGCTCCGACTTGTCTATAGTGGACTCTCCGGGTGAAGTACTATTATTGTGCGTTTGTTGTTCGTCGTGTGACTTAACGTGCTGCCTATATTTGGCAACGTCTCGGCAAGCGAATCCGCATAGATCGCATCTAAACTGTAGTTGTGGCTGCTGCTGGCAGTTGGCTTCAAGGCCGTGTGAGGTGCGTTCGTGGTCTTCAACAATTTTTTTGTTGCGCGCCTTGAAAGCGCATTCTCGGCAGGTATACCACTGATTAAGGCTACTCGACGGGCTTGCTGGCGGTCGACGAAGTTCCTTTTCTTCTGCTGGGCCCGACTCGGCATCCGATACTGAAATCGGTAGGCGAACGGTTTTAACGAGAGCACGGGCGAGCTGCACGTTTCCGTTGCCACTTTTTTCTGCAATTCCATATTATGTGTTCTTTAATTAGGCTGGACAACGAGGCTCTTTATGCTGCCTGGTCGCGTAACGTAAAATTTCAGCTCACTTTTTTTTTAAATATTTTTTTCTGAGTAAAAATCGTAACCTTCTTTGGCCACCCTTTTAAAATTAACCATTAGCGGTATTTCATTGTTAGAATAAGCAGATACACTTAGGGGTAAACAAATGCTCGAATATCGTCAAGAATATGTAAACCTCTTTGAGAATATATCTAGGATAATGCCTAAGCCAGCTAAAGCTAAATATGATAATTTCTGTAAGCGCCCGGAAAAACCACGAGATAATCAGACCTTAAGAACAATTGACAACTTTATGAGGTACTAATATGGCTTTTGAATAGCTCATGATTGGGAAGCGGTTTCGCTATCAGTTGAACATTAACCTTTTTTTTCAACTGTTTTAGGAACAATTTTCAAACACTTGCTTTCCTACAGGGTCTAGCCGAAATGACGCTGGACTTCACTGGGTTCCTCCTATAGGCCAACAGAACGGCATGGCAATCATATGGCATAGTAATCATTTGTCGATGCTAAAATTTGAGCCAGCACCACGCCACCTCAATTGAGGTTACTCTTTCACTTCGTACTCGGGGTCACAATCGCCAGATGAATTATGACTGACCTCGCCCCTTTTTCTTCGACGCTAGTCTTGCGTGGGGTAGAGGAACCCAAACGGAAATTGCACGAGCCACTCTTGAATCGCGAGCACTGGCAATTTTTTGGTGATTGGAACATCAACTTACAATATATTCATTGTCAAGTAGTAAAACTAAAACAACTCTCGTAATAAATCTCCTTCAACTTGTATTTCGATGCCCTGAACGGGTTGACTCTTTTTGATTCAACATTACATCACAGACAGCAAGAATGGGCAAACCAATAGATTAATTTGTTGTTATTGTTATAACTGCACAAACCAAGGTACTGCGCGATAATATTGCTTTCTTTTTCAAGTTGAGCTGCTTCGTGGGTGTCTTGAGCGACTTTTTTAATCACTTCTCTAACATCCTCTGCTGTAAGCCCTGGCTCAATGCCCACGTGGCAGCTTGCACAATGGCGCTGCAACTTTTGCAATTGTCTCGAAGCGTAGCTACACCATGGGCAATCATAAATGGTGAGGCGGTCGCAGTGAACCTCTTTCCTGCAAATAAAAAATACAACTATCACTTAATGTGGCATTAGGCTTTAATGCGAAAGTCCTATTTGTCGGCAAATCGTTGTCATTCATAGATGAATCGGCCTACGTAGGGCTGGTTCGCAAGAAGAACGAAAGCTATCAGAACGGGGGCTCTGAGTGCCGCATAAGTCTTCTCTGTCCTGCTATCGATACACCCAACATGTGTAAGCTGCTAGGCTCTAACTGGTCGCTGTACACGACGTGTCGGAAATCGCTCTCCACTAATCATAATAGGCTGTTTGGCAACGGGACGTTATTTTGCTCGCATAAGTTTCCTGATATAATCGAACAGGCGAAGTATGTATGTGAGGTAGCCATTACTATACAGTTCTTTGATTGTGACCCGACTACTACACGTGCTGTTCACACGCAACTAGAGAGGGTAGACAGAGGACTACAGGCAACAACAATCTTAATCGAACATCGTGTGCATATGATGATCAGTTTGTTGGTGTGTATTTTTTACCCACCGGTGAATGAGGTAGTCGCGCGACTCCTTGGTGACAAAGTCACAGTCCCGGCAGAGATGTGACCTTTGAACGTTGATCCTCCGTTTGGACGATGGTTGGCTGTTCGCCTCTTCGTTATCGAGCTCCTCTGCAAAATCCGGTAGACACCATCGCGACGCAACAGCCCGGTCAACCGTCGTAAGCAGGTTAATTCAGCAGCATGCACAGGTAATCGTCGGTATAAATTATAGCCATTAGCTCGTCAGTGAAAGAGCGAAACTTTGTTCTCAAGACGTCGCCGCTTAACTGGATCAGACATACGATACAGTTACGCAGAAATTGCTCGCACGCACGTTGACCGAGTGACAACGTGCCAGCAAAAGCGTAACGTCCAGATTCAAAAAACTTGTAGTAGAGCACCTCATTGAACTGAATGAGATCGTCAGAAAAAACTCAGGCCTTTTTTTGTTTTCTCTCTGCCTCTTCTTGTCGATTTGATAATTATTGCAATGTCACATTACAGACATACAGATCTGGTTGTGTGAATACACGGTTACTTATCCAGCGTTTTATAGTAATGGTATATTGACGATCGCCGTTACGTTGTCTTGGAAATAGCGATCTCAAGAAGATCTAACATAATAGATATTTGGATCGGTAGACGTTTGACAAACAAAAACAGCAGCAGCAGTAGCAGCAACTATAGAGATGGAGACATGTAATTCTACTAACTCATTTTTCGCTGGAGACTCGTTATTCCAAATGTTTATACTGCAAAAGTAAATTCAAGCGTCTGACTAAAGTAGAGTCAAGAAGTAATTGCTGAGAACTCACTTGTCCCCTCTGTGAACTCCTGCTCTAGGAGGTCCTCGATCGAGTGCTCCTCGCTCCCCTCGTGATCGTCGTCTTCATCGACTTCGAGATACGCTCCAACCTCAAATCTGCAACGCAACGAGAACGCGTAAATGGCAAAGTTCGAGTGCAGCGACTGGTCTTTTTATCTACTCGCATAGACGATTAGTACCGCTAAACGACAGCATCACCATCAGTATAACGGCCAAAGGTGATAGCAAAAATGACGATGGTAATGACGACGACGAGGACGATGATGATGATGATGCTGATGATGACGACGACGACGACGGCGGTGACGACGTAGAGAACATTAGGTGGGACAGAAATGTTATTTCGATCTGATCAGCAACATCTGCTGCTTTGTGCTGCTACCGCAAAAGCACGTCTAGCAACGCCCCAATCCACTACTGATACCGTACTAGCACCGTCGTCACCACTAACGTTCCCGGCCGTAGGAGCGATTCGTGTCTATCGACCAGTCGACTCAAGGGAGACCCATCGGGCACGCTGCTGAATGATAGTTGGCGAACAGACGGGGCGTCCGTCACAAAGTCGCTGCAACGGCCACCGCCGTCGCCACTAACACTCCTCGCTCGTCGTTCTGCGACTGAGCAAGCAAGCAAGCAAGCAAGCCAGCAAGTGAGTGCGCTTCGGCGCTCCGTTGACGCTCCGTTCGGCCTTGGCGAATGAGATGGACCGACTGACGGAACAGCAACCGCTGCCATCCGTCCAACAGCAGCAGTTAATACTACACGGCCAGCATTATGGGCAGGCGAAGAAGCAGCCCGTCGGCCTCGCTGCGCCGTACTAGCCGTCATCGTAGCCGCTCGCTACTAACGGCGGCGGCGGCGGCGGCAGCAGCAGCAGCAGCAGCAGCAGCGGTGGCGGCGCAACAGGAGTACGTTGGTCGTTGTTAGTTGGCAGACCACTAACACGGCTGCTCTTACTCCCGCAACAGCATCATCGTTGACTACCACGTCGCTGTCGTCAACGTCCTCGCTGATGGCCGCCACAACACCAGCAGGAGCAGCAGCAGCAGCAGCAGCAGCATCAGCATCTCCGCCACGACGATTAAGCAGGCAGCGATACCAGCAGCAGCAGCAGCAACAGCAGTAATCAGTACAGTGACACCGGCGTTACCATACAAACCAAGCTGACTTCTGCAAGCAATAGCTGTCAGCAACAGATAAACGCGTGGCCCAGTAGCATTCTACGTGTAGGCTGCTGACCCCCTTCCTGTATGTGCTGCTGCTGCTGATTGCGTTCGTAGCCCGCGGAGGTGGTCCTGCGCAGAACGGTGGAATCATCGTCAAGGTGCCGTCATCAGCAGCAACAATAACAATACCGAGTCACAACAAGACGATTCCGGCGGATGGAGATTATGGCCACCACCCATGGCTTACTACAAGGCGGATAAATTCAGCACGAACTATATTTCTATATAACAGCTGTATCACTTATAGCGGTTCATAGGCGATCGTATTCATTTGATAGACGTCATTTTACTGGTAAAAATTTAATCTCCACAAATAACATTTTACTGATATTGTACTAAAGGGGAGATGTACATGGGGTAAGCAGATCTCCTAAAAAGCACATCTATGCACATATGGGCCTCTAGAAATTACTATGTTGTATAGCCTCGCAATTAAGCAGAAAATATAGCGCCTACAGAGTGCAGTAGGTAGAGTAGGGGGTTACTAACGCCGCTGATCTCAGGAAAGACTAAAGTTCACATGGATAGAATAGGTTGATCAAAGGTCAAAAGTAGCAAGCCTTTATTCGGCTAAGGCTAACTGCAACAAGTTCAGTCAGAATCTACTACGGTGTTTTGATAAACGGCGACGGCAAACAATTTAAGCACACGTTGCGTTATAACAATTTTTCAGCGCTCGCAAACCTGGTTGTGTCGTCGAGATGCACTGTGAGCCCGTAAGTTACGGCGTAAATTCTGACTCGCATGAATACAATCAAAGACGATGGCTTGTTTCTCTTGAAGGAATACTATGAATTGCGGAAACTCTTTCCTCTTTAGCACGAAAAATACAAAAGCATTAATGTACAAGGGATACAAGAATACTCAAACATCCGGTTCTTGTGAACATGCATAGCGGGATGTTTGGTCTATCTTAATTTGATATTCTATCCATGTATCGAAATAACGTGGTCAGGATGAAGAATGAACTTATTATTAATTTGCCGTCGTGACGGCCCGCGGAACGAGGCCGTTCGCATATTGATAATAATAATAATAACAGTAATCATAATAATCATCATCATCGTCATAAGAAATAATATAAGCCTAGTATGTACGTCGTCTCCGATAGGCGTCACTTGCCGATTTGATCGAGGAAGACCAAGACCAGCAGGGTAGCGATGGAAACAAGAACCAGCGTAGAGCCAGCCAGCTTTTGTTTGGGCCAATCCAGTAAGAGTCCTCTACTGAACATCTCCAAGAACGTCAACAACAGTCGTTGAAGATACTACGAGTCAAGTAAAGGACACGAGGCAGTCAATTCATGTGGCCGTGAATAAATGCAGTGGGCCCTTGTATATATCTCCCTATAAAACCGCAAAAGGACTGGATTCAGACGCTGGTTGAGATAAGGGTTTTCACGTTTAGATGAAATAATTGTATCGCGAATCTTTAATAACCCTTGTTATTATTGATGTTAACCACTCCTATAGATAAATGTTGTCTTCTAACTAGCTTCTTCTTTCAGCCTGTCTCTTTCGACCCTGCGACATTCATTCGCAGTTGTGTCAAAACTGTGTCAGACGTTTTGGCGGCAAATTTGACATCGTAAATATATGATGATATATTTGACAGTAATATCGTATCCAAGTATGTACCTATCAATACCTAGACTGAACTAAATCATTATATAGATAGAAATAGTAAGAAGGATTCAACAAACACTTTGAGCCACACGTCAGATACAGACTCATTTCTGTGTGAATCTGGTGTATCATGCAGGTGTGCGCCGAAATACTTTGTTAGGGTAGTACAACGATGTAAAAAAAAAAATAAGATAGTAAGCATCGCACGAAAATAGATAAACCTGTTGTATATTATATAATACGATCGTGCAAAAACGATGTGCCGAAATCAGGAAACCACTCGGACCAAATTGGAACAGATACATTCGAGACCCAAAAAAACTCAAGCAAATCGCGGACACAATAAAGGCCACCTCTGTAGACCCATTCCCCACAGAGTAGAGGTCATTACACCATTGCGCCTGGGAAGCTGCGCGAGGTCGGCCGAAATTTCATGCGCAGTTAACGGAAAACAAAGTCAAACAAAAGTGGAAAAAGTATCAGAAATATTAGGCTCGTTGCATTCGTTGATTGGTTCCGCTGGGAGCAACGGCAGCAGCAGCAGCAGCAGCAGCAGCAGCAGTGGCAGGAGCAGCGCAGTTAACACGCGAGCTGAATTGGGTCGGATTATAATGGGTGCGTTTCCTTTTTGTTCTGTAGCAGCACACCTGTTTTCCCGCCGGCGAAGGCCCGCTGGCGTAGAAGTTGAAGTTGAAGTCTCCTGCTGTGATAACGGCTTGGAGACTTTTTCGAGGACCTCGTCGAGCAGTTCGGGATGCTCCTGGCGAGTGTGGTCGACGAGCGAATCCTTGGTCGGGAACTTCGTACCGCATGGCTCACAGAGGTTGATGCTCTGTAACCCGTGCAATGTTCGTTTATGCCGCCAGAAGTTGGCCTGCAGATACGGGTGGGTTAGTCGTAAACTCCTCCAGATTAATGAATTTTCTAGGAACATGCAATGTTTCTGTTAGTAACTTGTTTAATCGGCACTGTAAGATACGCAGAAAATTACGCAGGAAACAGAAGTGAGTATTGTCTGTAGCTGTAGTCGATGTGTATTCGGAGGTTGCGCGCTTCTTCAATGAAATACATGTCAACAATAAATATGTCAAAAAAAATCAAGTTAAACAGTATGTATATCCATCGTTTTGTCGTGTACTTGTACTTTAAATCCGATTCAGTTCCTTTTTTCGGAGTCAGCTGTACTCTTGTAGATTTCTGGCAGAAAGGTAGCTATCCCATGCTAACGGTTACTACCCGTTACTCTGAGACGTAAACATGAAACGTCGATATTATTTATATCTGTACGATTGTTGTACGTGGTTGTTAGGAGGTGGTTTTGCCATAGCGGTTCCATAGTGATTCAGTACATCTTCTTCTCGTTGCCTTAGGATACGCGCCGACACAGCACCCAGTAAGTCATGATACTCATTCTGGGTCAATATGTAAAAGTTTTTCTGCCTTGTCATACGTCGTCTACCTGACATTCCGTCTGTCTGCTGCTTCTCTCCGCCTGGAGGCTCTTGAGTGCTTGAGCTTAAGAGGACCTGTTCACGTTCACTGTCGCAACGAAAGCACGTAAGAACTCTGCTGCTGCTGCTTAGTTGTATGCATCGACTAGCAGGCCACTGGCATTAGCACCGGGATGGAGCAAAAGCCACTGTCCGTGGGTGTCGACCAAGCAATGGGATGGCCTCGTTGCAGGCCTGCCTGTCTGCTTGGTTGGCCAGAGGGAGCGAGAGGCCGAGGAAATGGGGAGAAGACAAGTAATGTCAAACACAGACACACCCACGGCTGCAACCCCTAACACCACCACGTCAACCATTCCTCCGTTTCCTGAAACGGCGTACGATACCGAACCGCTGAGACACTACATTCGGCATGCGTGGCTTCCTCTACTGTCAATGTATGGCACGCCGGTATTTCCGCCAGAGGCTGGGCTGGCAAAGCTGTGGTGACAGGCGCAGTGTTGCCCCAGGTCTGCTGCTCTGTGGGTTCTCCGCACCATGACACCTAGAGCTTCTTTGCGCTTTGGCACACGTTAGCGCCCCCATATTGAACGCTTCAACAACAATCGAATTACGGCGTAAGCCAGGACCCATGGACGCAAAAGACCATCCCGTACGTCGTTTCCACAGAAGGAGCCTGTTGTCGCCATTGCATTGGTCGTGGCAGCCTCACGGCTTCTATTTAACCGCGCTCTTTCGAACAGTGGCCTTTGGGCCGCCTATTGCATTACCGTTCCTTCTATATATAACCGCTGTTTTCACTCCTATTCGTTTCCAGCGTTGTCAGGCGAACCTTACTCTTTCCGTCTGTTCGCCTCGCATCGCTTCGTCACGTCCCGTCGTTCCAGCTCCGAGTTCGAGATGAAGAGGTACAGGGTTATCGCCAACAGTGTTCAGCAGGAACGGTTGCACCATCGGCTCGTTGGCTGGTTCATTTGACGACGACACATCGCTTAAGAAGGCTACAGTCTCCCTTCTGCTGCTGATAAGATGATTTGCTGCTTATTATGTAAGTTCGCAACAATAACGTGGCATCATCCTCTATCGGTACGGCCTAGTCCAACTTCCTATCGACTTTACAGAGAGTGTATATATGCAACTTTCACAATTGAGAAATGCTGACAGCTACGAAAATTCGTTACTGGTTGTACGTTTATCCCGAAATTTTACTAGCCATTGTTTTGCGAGACCAACTATCGAATAATAAAACACGTGTTCCAAATATATTCAAAATGTCAATAAGGGTGTGGATTTAGAATCGGGAATTTTTTTATTCGGAAAAACGTTGAATTCGCGCAATCGATTTTTACTCATTAAGGCTCGACATCCCTAAGAACACAGCCCCATAATTTTCATTGTCAAATAATTCCAGTTGTTAAAAGTGAAACATAGTAAACGAATGACCCTTTCGTACAAGTGTTGTGAAACTCCTTAGTCTTCCCTTTATTTGACACACTAATAAAATAACCTCCTTCTTTGACAAAATTTCAGTTAGGAATCACGTATGACGCGATTAATACACTGTCCTGTGAGTTAGGTTTCCTAAGGCACAGCGTTTTATATATCGGGGTGCTTTTTATGGTACGCAAATTTTTTGCCTGATATAATGTGAAAGCGTTCCCTAAACGTGACTCTTTCTATGAATCAGAAAAGAAGTTGACCTTCTTAAACTTTTCATTAGATAGGCTAGTTCAAATTTGATTTGAGCACGCCAAAGCATGTATACTACCAAAATGTGTTCTACCTGTAAAACATAACGTCACAAAGCAGACTTTTCTAGGAGCTAGAGTAGGCTTAGAACCATTAGAACTATAGTCCAATGTCTATTCAGCTCTTGTTCCTGCTCAGCTATGTGTTTATGTGCATTCATTCCAGCGTGAAAGACAGGTGTATTTGCAACCTTCTACGACTTATAAAGGGTCTGTATCTTTGATATACTACTATAAATTCGATTTTTGTACGTTCTTCTTCAGCTGTAATAATAATACCTGGTACTTGGTGATAAAGTCGCAGTGGTCGCACTTGAAGGCGTTGTCCGTGTGCTCACGAGCCACGTGCGTGGCGAGGGCCTTTCGGTTGGTGGCCTGGTGGCCGCACTCCTGGCAGCGGTAATGGCTCAGAGGGTACATGCCAGCCCCAGCCTCAGAGCCCCCTTCTTCTGCTTGTCTTTGTTGTTCTTCTGCCCAGACAGCCAAGCCACAGCCTCGTCACCTCGCCACAGCCTCTCAACTTTGACGACACCTTCGGCGGTCACCAACCAGTTTTCCTTTCGAGCGGCAGACCTTAACAACAATAACACTCGCTATTAAACAACAACAACAACATTACCACTAACAACAGCAACGGCAGCAGCAGCAGCAACAACAAACTCCGAGAAGTCGCATTTAACGCTACAATGTAAACATCAACAAGAGGGGCTATTCATATTTAGGCAAAAGTGGTAACTAGTACAATGTCTAGAAAGATGTCACAAAAATGCCATTTTGTTTATTGTTGGCAGTATGTACCCGATTTAAGCTTGAAAACATGCAGTTCAAATCACACTTAGTTAACTATTAGTGCGCAAAAAAGTGAGCCAGTATCCACCGTGAGACGCATTATAAATTAGGTCACTATATACACACGGCCGCACATACATACACGCACAATGACAATACAACAACAACGCCGGATTACTGTTAGGACAGAGAGAGCGTTACCCAGAGGAAAAAAGCCTGAGTTAAGTCGAAACCTAGACTGAAGTAGGTTGTTCATCCTCTTGCATTCAAAAAAGGTCGGAGGACGGCCTCTAAGTTGAAGAAGTGCTTATAACAACAACTTGGCTTATCAAAGCCCACGCGCCTCACTATCATATGGTTGCGACGGCTAACACGAGGCCATCAGCAGCAGCCTTGGATCACTGAACACCTCACCCTCGCCGATCGCCGCTACCGCCATCGTCGACGCCCGAGGCCCTCTTCATGTCAGCACAGCGGATTTCATATCAGTTGCCCCCTGCCAGTTCTATACCGAATAATCGGGGCTGACGCGGCGAAGGCATTCGGCGTTTATCAAAAGCCTGTTGACTGGCCCAGCCAGGGCAGCATCACTACGTCGCCAGGGCAAACGTGCCATGGCGACGAACGAGAAATACCGACAAGCGCTCGTGGAACCCAACCGAAACAGCACAACAGTGTACTCACTCCCTACGCGAGCACCCAATTTTGTTGTTAGCTGATGTGTACCACAGCACAGCAGTGAGCCATCTAAATATCTATGCATTATAGATTAGCACTGAAGATGGTAGACTTCGAATTAGGCCAAAATCTGAGGTACGGCCTTTAGCGTGGTGGGCTAAACACGACAGACAAATCGACCAATTTATTTAGCGTAACATAGTAGTCACAGAGAGTGCGCCCCACGTATGCATTGCGCTCATGTATGCCGTTGAGCGCATCGAGCATCATTGTGCCTGTCTGCCTGTACCATATGAGCAATGTTCTCAGTGTTGTTGCCTATTTGCCTACCCACCTTCCTGGCCGGTTGACGGTTCAATAGCTGAGAGAAGAGGGCCGCCAGCGTGCACACGCGCCATTGTTGGCCACAGTGGCCGATGGCCGAGGTCTCAGTGGTGTTGTTTAGCATTGTCGTTGTTGCAGCTCTAGCAACAGTTCTGCCTCACCACTATCAAGCAAAAGAACTGCTGCAACAGCAGTGAAATGAGAGGTGGAGCCCGTCGTCGATCGAACGTGAGTCACGTCGCCGACGTCGTGTGCTGTCAACTGTCGACACAGAAAACGAGACAGAGCGAGGGGTTCTGCTGGCAAGAGGGCGAACAAACAAGATGGCAATCAACATTTTGAGTTTGAAATAAAACTCTACTGGGACTTAGGAAAGAAATCGGGCATACGCACAAGACATTAAAATTCCCCATCCACATAAAAACGGTGTCTTTCTAACTAACAAATAAATAAGGCATTGACAGAGTCAACTCGCTGTTATGCAAACAACAGACGTATGGATTCCAAAGTCGAAATGAAGACTGGAAGACGAATGTCGGCTCAATTGAATTTAGGATTCAGCCTTAAATACTCCTGAATAGAAATATAAACGTATTTAAGTTGTTTCGCCTTCTTTTTTAAATTATTTTGGAAAAACGTACATTTCGTCAGAGGCTCCCTTTGTCTTATTGTTCCTGCGGTCGGTCCAGCTACCTTGAACCAATTGAATACAAACTTACCTGCACAAGAAACGCCAATGAAATTTTTGAGAATCATGCAGTAACCATACAAGGGTTACTTTCTAGAAGAAAGCTTTCCTAAGAGACAAGTGAGCATCTGAGAGCGTCTTATTTATGAACTTTTTAAACATGGCGTAATCTGGGTAAGTTAGCATAAGATTGGAACAGCCTTTGTTAATGTTTCTTTTTACTTCTTTGCTGCGATTTACTTCAATAAAGCATTTCCTCCACTAGAAGTCCGCTGCAATTTCACTGTAAGTAAGAAAATTTCGTGCTCCAAAAATGAAGTTCTGTCAGGAAACTGCATTTCCGATAACTTCACTGTTTCCGCTAACTTGTCGCCAAAATCGAACAGCTACCGAATGAGCACGGGATATTTTCGCTGTATATAGCAAGAGCTTTGCACCTGAGAGAAATGGGTTGCAAAATTCTGTAAAGCGGAAAATGCATCCGTGCTCCGGTCTGAGGTTACCCAGGGCCGTCTGAGGGCACTTTCGAAGGAAGACTAACCACTATGTGCCGCATTAATGACGCACTGGTAACGCTATAAACCTAAGGGAGATCCTTATCCTCAAAAGACAATGACTTGCGTTCGGTGGGACTGGAATCGCACTAGACATCGGAAAATGTTTTTTAAGAGAATAAGTCGTTAATCACGATCTCCAAACCACGATTGAACAAAAGTACGAAGAAGAGTTACATTTCTCCACGACAAAGTCAGACTGCACATGGCAAAGATTGCAAGAGCTTGAATGGGAGGTTTTTGCGCCCTCGACATCTTTCAAACCTCACGCTTCCTCAGACTACATCCTTTTTTGAACATTGGTAAATCAGTAAATATACGTTTAACAGTGAAGGGGGTGTCAAAACCCGGCTGGACGAATTCTTTAACAGCAAACCTGAAAATGATTAGTGATATGACCTTGACGGATGGAAGAAGGTCATTAAGAATGAAAACGAATATTTAATAAAACAAAGGACGGCTTGAATTTTAGTGAAACGCCGCGTTTTTTGTTAGGTCAAAAACAACCTCTACTCCTATTATGACCTGATACATCGCAGATAGAACGTACAGACGTATCGTAGCGCACGCCGAGCAGATGCAAAATGTATATTACAAAAAAAGATACAAAAGCCTTCCAGAAGGGCGCCAGAAGAGACTACGTTCCGTCTCCTATTTTATTTATGTTTGTTACGCCTAAAAAATAAACAACGAGAAACAATGTCATCCCAGTTCAATCGAAGGTATTGTTTGGTCTTCTAAGAAATGTCGTCATCGGCATAGGAGCCTGATAGGCAAAGACGCTGTTGTTTCATATAATACTATATATAGTGATAGAAAGCAGCTAAACATAACAGATCTCTGGGCTGTGCATCGAGCTCCCGCGGCTAATTTGACAGTCAGCAGCAGTGCCCATGGCGACCCTAGCCGCAGCTAAAGTGGTTCAAGGACGAGTCCAAGTCGATGACTGTAGCGACGTATGGACGAAGAGCTAATGACATCGTCGGTAACCAAACCAGACCACGTTTCTGCGTTTATCGGCAGTCAACTCTCCTCCTTTTCGGTGTTGGCGACATTGAGACGGAGATAAGCAAACGAACAAGCTCGCCATTGATGGCGCCCACTATACCACCGCCACCACCATCACCGCCGCTGCCGTCGCGGGCTGCAGCAACAGTGTATGAACGCGATTACATCAGGAGAAAAGAATCGTGTACTCTTACGTTTGCCTGCTGCAAACTACCGAAAATCCGTTTGCAGATATAACTCTAGCTGGCAACATCAGCGGCTAACGTAAAAGTAGACGTACTATACGTTTGCCTTGTGGGAAATCGCCTAGTTACTGTTCAACTCGTTGTCGCAGTCAAACGAAAAATAATAGTAATCTAAGTGCTACGAAGGGGGCTAGGTAAGCGGCAAAACGGGTTTGTCTTCGAAAAGCAAAAAAAATAACTAGAACTGGATAATGACGACAGGCGCTACAAATATGGTAGAACAGACAATGACTGAAGGCAAATAGGAGGTAGTCATCCTCGTGATAACCACCATTGTTAAAACAATTCCTGGATGCGTGTAACGTGAAGCGCATTCATCCGAGAAGGTTCTTGATCTGGCAGCTATGCTATTTCAGCTCTATTATAATCATCAACGACTCTATTACGATTTACGCCACCGAATTATAAGATGCGACACACGGATCCTGCGATGTCGAGATCATCGCCATTTGCCAGCTACTAATGGAGCATTCGTGGCATCGAAGGCATTGCTAGGCGTTGGATGCGTCCAGGACCTGTGATCGTATCGGCAGGACGCGATGTCTATCAGGACGAGCTTTCTCGTACGTATGTACGAGCAGCCAGTAAATCAGTTGATGGTGGTACGAAATTACTTTTACTTTACGAGAGCACGCATCAACACATTTTACTCTACATTTCCGCTATCGGTCTTTATCAGACCTTTTCGCTCTTCACTTCGGCACTTACAGCGTGCCTCTGTTAGGATCGTTATATTGTTTCTTGGGGCCTCGTTCTGTCTATTTCTACGTGAGGAATGAACACGGTGGATTATAGTAAATACATCCTACCACGTTTCGCACGGGGCATATCGTACGCCAACATCATAAGAAACGCCCTCGGGCTTTTGGAGAAAAGGGTTTAGTACGCCGGAGGACGATACCGTACTGTCACAACACGGTATCGTTGTCTTGTTGGCGCAGGACGACGCATAAGACGACGACTAGTCCTCTCGGCATCAGCTCGATCGATATTAACCTCGGGCGGACGGCGGCCGCTGTCGCCGTGTTTGTTCCTTCAACAATGGCAGCAGCATCGAGAACGACGAGAACGGCTACGTCAAGACCGGCACAACAGCACAGCAACTGTTGAGCGGCGGCAAAAGGCGCTTCTTACTTGTTTCGTGCTCATTTTCCTCTCACTTACCCATCATGGCCACCACTTTTGTCGTAGCAACGTAGTAGCAACAGGGCACGAGTCTGGCACTACACTTTATTATTATTACCATCATACACGGTTAGATAGAGCGTTTCGGCGGTCGTCGTCGACCCCGCTGAAGATTTGACTGATCGAACTGGTCGTTGTTTTTCCACACCGTTATTCATATTAGTTAGCTATTGGATCTTCTCTGTTCTCATTTTTCAATCATTCGTTTCAACATGATCGTATACTGCTCTCACTCACCTGCCTCCGCCAGCCCTCTCTCCCTTCGCTCGCTCGCTCGCACACAGAAATATGAAGGAGCTCGGTGGGCTGCCAGCGGGACAGCAGTTGGTATACTCACCTTTCGATTTACGCGCAGGCTGCTGCTTCCTCGTTCTACAATAGTTGTTCCTTTCTTCCGTCGTCTTCTTACTTCTGTTTCTGCTATTTTACCATCGTCGTCTTGTGAGCAGCACCGATAGTGCGGCAGCAGCAGCACTATTCGAATGGGGTGGGTGGGGGTGTGGAAGGTAAGAAATCTTTATCTGTCTGACTCACTTTGCCTGCCTGTATCTCGACGGTGCCTATGGGCTACTGCCAGTATCATTTTTGTCGGTCGGCTTCATCGTGCCGTCGGCGTCGACGTTCTAGATATGGTTGCACAAATGAAACAGGCCGTCGTTGCAATTGGCCGTTGTTGTTGGCCTGTTATTTCTGTCCTGTTATTTGTTGTGACGGCACCTATCAGAAAGTACTACTACGGGAACCATAAGACGCACAAACCAAGACAGTTACAGACGGTATGGCCGCACTCGCTGTTAGAAGCTTGCTGGTTTATTGTTGACGTCGGCGATTGGAGTCGTCCTCGTCGTTGATACCTGAATTGTCCTTTAGCTGTTCCCGAGCTCGTTGTTGTTCACATCGCCGTCGCCTGGACTGTTCGTCCCCTGGCGTTCTGTCCGTCAGTTCATCGGTCAACGAGCGTTCGAGCGAGCTACCAGCAAGGCACACTCTGCTGCTACTACTGCTGCGCTCGGTCGGTCGATCGGTCGCTCGGTCGGTCAGCCGGTCGCTAGCTAGGTGACTGACTAACAACTGCTTGACGGTAACAGCATAAACTACTACTGCTGCAGCAGCAGCAGCAGCAGCAGCAGCAGCACCACCACCACCACCACCACCACCACACTAAAAAATTGCAGCTCACTCGATTTACCACCAACGCCACCACTATTGAACAGGCAGATATAAGCAGCAGCAGCAGCAGCAGCAGCTGTAACTGCAACGGCGATGATGGCGACGACTAGCGCACAGTGCTAGTGAATGGTTTTGGTGGTGGTGGTGGTGGTGGTGGTGGTGCTGCTGCTGCTGCTGTGCTGCTGGTGACCACTACCGCCGCCACTGCTGTCGTCGTCGTTGTTGTTGTTGTTGTACTTGCTGTAGCAGCAGCAGCAGCTCTCAGTGTCGCTGATGTTGTTTCCAATCGTGATCTGTGTGCGGTCGCGAGTCCGCAACTGAACACTGCCGAACTGCCGCAGAGGAAGAACGAACGCGTGAATAGGCCGCTAACAGCAACCCGTCGCAGCAGCAGCAACATTGGACGTACTATCAATATCGGTATCGGCTGCAGTAGCAGCATCAGCCAGCCTCCGCCTGCTTTCTGCCTGTTCACTTCTCACTGGCACAGTCAGTAGTAGTCACAAGCAGCCAGCGTTAGCCAGCAAACGAGCGAGCGAGACACAGCAGCCGCCGCCGCCGCCGCCAAGGAGGGAGCTTGCTGCCTGCTGCCAGGCCGACAGGCAGACAATCATACATTCGGTGGCGTATCGAGCGCTGTGCGGGTGCCGGCGCGGAGAAGAGCGTCGTAAGGGACCTCGATGGTAGTGCGGTCGTTGTCGACTGCTTTCGGGCCGGGTCGGCTTGCTTTGGCTAGCTCTTGGCGTGGCAGGCGGTTCACACTCAGCGGTGGTGTGGCGGTGCTGGGAGAAAGGAAGGACAGCGCGCAGCCAGCCGAACGAGGAAACCGATGTTGGCCGTTGGCGCAAGGATCCTGCTTCTTGCTTTTAACTGTTGGCTACGACCCGAGCGAATTACTTTGCTGTGCCAGCACAGCAGCGATTAAAACAGCAACGCCGACATCAACGACAGCAGCAGCAGCAGCAGCTTACAGCAGACTCTCTCGCGCGCTTGCTCGTCGTCTTCATCGCCGTTGTCGCCGGGCAGACAAGCAAATAGGGAGGTCACAGCGGTCGGCTGCTACAAAACGAGAGAGAAAGGGGAAGACATCGATCTGATATGGGCGGGTGGTTGTGAGCGAGGGATGTTGGAACACGGCAAGCGCGCGGCAGGACGCCAGCAGCAGTAGGGAGACGGGCAGGCTGCATAAGACGGCATACCACTTATACCACGAAGCTTCCTTTACGGACGACGACAACAGGCGATGGTGGTTCATGGAGACCCCTCAGAGCGACCGACCACCCGAATCTACCTTCTTGTCGGCCAGCTCGGGACTCGATGGACTGAAGCGACTAGGCCACCTATTGGACCTACTCAGACCTCTTAGTACGAGCAGCATGTGGAAGGTAGTAGTTACATGGTAAAGCCAGCTACCGGAGACGACAAGAGGAACTCGGAAGCTGCTGGCACAAGAAGTGCGCCACACAAGCCTGCGGGCGGTGACCGCAGTGGTGACGCTGGTAAACGATTCTCCTGAAACAGCCCAGAGCAATGCAGCCTTGAAGCCATCCGGCTGAACAGCAAGGGTATGTAAGGTAGTAAGGCACACTGCAAATATCACCGCCTCTTCATTGCCTTGGAGCTCCGGAAGGATCTTAGACCTAACTAAAGCTAGCTCCGGCTTGAGCCGACTTGTGTGGCAATACGAGCCAAGCAAGCATCCAGTGACCGATCGACCAACGCATCAGGCCAATGGCCCCTCCTTCGACCAACATCTCGATTCTCCCTCTACACACACACACACACACACGCCCACAGATACACCCATATGCAACAATTCAACTCAGTGGAACAGAGGAGGCTACACCTTGAACGTCTGTCCAAGTCGACAGACAGGCAGGCGGCAAAAGGTGTTAAGAGAGCCTTTTGGCTCTTCTGCAGTTATTTCAATTATTATGATGTACAAATAAAGAAAATAATAAACTATACCGAGTTTTGCTGCCATATCTGTGATAAAATCGCAGGGATAAAGTACAGACAGTAGATTGGAAAATAGAAGCAGAACATGTAAAAACGCGAATTGGTACTGTTTTTAAACTTTTTGGCAGAAACTTAGTCTAGAATGTTTCCCAACGTTCGGCTTTAGGATCTTTTAGGCGGAACCACGGAAGCCGTATAAAGCGTCTGTTCCTCCGTGAACATCGTTGCTGTTATACTACTCACTATGGTTTTTCACTGTAAAGATGCCCTGCCGTCGAAACCCGAGTCGAGTTGACAGGAGTTGTCTTGGCTGAAGTGCCATGTAAATGCAGGCAAGTGGGCAAGTGTGCGTATATGTATGCTTACAAGCACTTATAACGACTGAAAGCAGGTTTTTCGACAAGAGTTCTGGAGGAAAAGGAAAACGGGAGAATCCGGGGCAAACTAAGCAATGGTAAAAACTAACTAATAGCGTTGCACAAAAAGAAAGGCGGACAAATGAATGGACGCATGGACGGACAGTCAAGGCTCTCTGTACGTACTGAATTGTATTGTCTCACATAGCTTAAATTGCACGAATCTGGAAGAAATACTCTCTGTGCCAGAAGCGTTACACAGGATGATAACTTCCAAGCAAACGTATGCTCCTATTCCGAAGAGGGACAAGAGATTTAAAAAAATAATACTTTTTATACATCATGTTACCACGAAGTCTTACATCATATTTTTGAAGCAGACTATCATTAAGCTTCAACCTGCGAGTTAAGAAAAATAGATTACTATTGATTGTTTAAAAATCTTGCGTCGTAGCTGTGAAAAAAATTGAGAAACCAAAAAGCACTTATTGCTAACGGTCATCTGTGGCCAATATAAACTAAATTTGACCTTAAGTCCTGCCAAGTTTCTTGGAACGCGCAGCAAGCGAACGGTTAGACTTGTTTTCTGAAATAGGGTTAATTGGCCTGAGACCAAATATACACATTTACGTTTAGGCGCTTATACGTTTGCTCGAACTCAGTGTGCTTCAAAAACGGCATCAAAGAACAACAACAACAACAACAGCAGCAAATTGTCAAAAAAAAAGCTGTTCGATCGACTACTCAATATAGCACGGCAGTAATTCACGCGTACATATTGCAGCACAAACGTGTCGAGAATTTTGTTTATCTTTGTCATTCGACCATGAACGCGGACATGAATAAGTGTTGATCTATTGCAATTTTCTGCAAAATTGTTAACGTCACAATTAAATATTGCTATCGAATCATCTGAGTAAAAATGCTGGGGCCGGGCAAACACAATTCACTAAAAGTGGTCAGAAGAAATACACAAATTACAACAACATCTGAGTCACCTACCTCAATAAATGTGAGGTCCTTAGTTCCGGAGGAGAACTACTACCAACGAAATATGTATTTAGAAAAGTCAAAATTTGCTAAAAAAAACTCCAGGATTAAGTTGAGCATATACAGCGTACGTCTGGAAATCCGAATTCTGGCTGTATCGCGCTATCTATCGCTCTCTATCACTTCCCTAAGAATCGTGACTCCTTCAGACGTCGACTGATCATCTGGCAGCAGCTAATGCTGCAGATACATTTTATACTGGCTGAGGAAAGAAACACTGTCTCGAGGCAATTACCAACGTTAACCATTCGAATTTTCTAGTTGTGAAAGCTGTCACTATTGGCGCTAAATATGAGTTTTGCAACGAGTGTAACCCTATTTGATTTAGGGGCGTCATTTTGTCCAGTGTATTATGATATAGAGTGATATCAATTATAACGATTGTGGTAACGTAGTCAGAATGTAACAAGGCTAAATATTTTAATTATTCGTTCTTTAGCGCTGAAACACTCTCTCCGATACCATAGTCAGTTCGTAAAGAGGACGTTTTCATATTTTTGTTCTATGTTTTCCCACAGCAGCACAGATTGTCATCTGGATACGAATGTATATCTTCCATGAATGAATTCAGCTACCAATAACGATCTGGACAAAGCCTTTACTACAAGACCTTTTGTCTTACCTTTATATATCGGTATATATATATATATATATATGTATATATATTTTTTTTTAATGCGCAAAGCATGGCTCAACAGCAATGCTATGTTACATAGCGTCCGTATAGTCCGTTCTATTTTATTGGACTAGAAATTCAAGCTTGCTACATCAGAGTGTATCGAAGGCGCTACACCGGTAGATGTATCACAATGGAAGAAACTTAACAAATATAAAACGCGACGATACTACCTAGCAGACGAATTCGACTCCATGAATAAGCAAATGCTTAATCACTGCGGATAGAATGGCTAAACGTACTTCATTTTTGCCCCGCACTAGACTAACTATTGTTACATATCATTCGAAACCCTTGTACTCAGCTAAGGCAGTGATTAGTCTGCTTCAGGCTCCGCAGCGGCCCGTTGACAGAGATTCACATTCAATGGACTTCGATCTTACCGCAGTTTCAGGTAGAGAAAGTAGTATCACGGAGTAATCCGTCTCAGTTCTTAAAAGTGTACTTGCAGAATTCTACCGTATTTAATTTCACTGTACACGCACACTTATGTCTACTGACGACAAACCATGCTTGTTATAAAGGCTCGAATCATTAGATCTCATTGACTGAGTTTCTTTTTTGGCGTATACAACTGGAAGACCTATCCTATAGGCAAACGGTGAATTATTAAGGTTATTCGTTGCAGCGGTAGCTGTCTTGTCTGATAATTGTTCGGAAAACACCTAGGAAGTTTTCTAAAAAGTTATGCGTAGTAGCCATTCGTTAGTTGGCGAGAATCACAAATCGGCATCGGTTGGAGACGAGTTAGAATTTCCTTTGTGTCGTCAGGGCCCCGAACAGGTCCTTCAAATCGTCGTATTGAATCGAGGTATACATACTAAGATTTTTACTACGATATTGCGAAGGGATGACTTTCTCATCTGTTACGGTATCTCGGCGACACCTCCAGTTCACCTAAGAGCTTTAGTAAATCGGAAACTTATATTCTGTTATCGCTCAAACCATCCCTACGCCTAAAAAAGGTTTCTATGAATGTTGGTTCAGGCTATAACCGTGCGGTAGTCAAAAATATGGTAGTTGCAAAGAGACCGACATATGAAATATAAAAAAACAAAAATTGCTTTTCATTAAGAAAACGTCCTTCCAACTGCCAATCGCGCTGTGTTGAGGTTAGGTTATGCAAAACGGCCTAGATATTTGCCCACCTATTCACGGATGACACTCAAACATCAGCTGTCATCAGCAAGAGTTGTGAGAATCGGTTAAGAGCATAATCCTTCGATTACGTCTATAATTTCACTTATTATGTTAGCCACTTGCATATGCCTTCTGTTATCTCGAAAAGGCATTGTACTTGTAGAATTTGCCCCCGGTCTAAATAAAGTGACACGCACAGATTATATAGGCGCGGTTAGTCAGTAATATTAGCTGTTTTAACGGGTAATAAGATTGAGCTATACGTAGGGACTCACTGAGAGCGCTGTACTGAAGCCACGGATTCAAACCATTAAGCTTTGAAGCACTAGGTCATGAAGGTAGCTGACTAACAGCCAGAAAAAATATGGACGCAGATGGGACAAAACGGATGGTGTGGACATCACTGTGCCATGAAACAGGAACGTTGGAATCTTGCCAGCGAGGGCCAAGGTTAGGACACACCGCACAGCTAGCGCGTCCGCGTCACCTGCTTTCATTCTGAGTAGATAGCTATACAGCGTGAATAATTAAAAAAAAATTTGAAATTATAAGTGCAAATCCCCGTTAGTTGGAGATTTGATTTCGATCGGTTCCCACTTGTGTATTAAATACCCCGGGGATTCGGGGGATAGCCGCTTGAGGGCAATTGCGGTCCCGATGATGTGGAGGGCATGGCAGTGGTGGATGGCAGTAAAACGCAGAGGCATGACGTCCCGACTTTTCCTAACGGTAAGCTGTGGCGTAACAAGGCGATCACTTATCTGCACCAGGTCGTTCTTTAGGGTTCGACTAGTGCCTGTATGAAATAGCTTTTACAATGCGAGGCCGATATGGTCGATCCTGTTGCTGAAAAGCTGCCAACAGCAACAGCTTTTTGTTAAGCTTTCGGGTCAACTTATATCCGAT